GGTAAGGATGCCTCCTGGACGCCTCCCTGGTGAGGTGTTCCGGGCACATCCCACCGGGAGGAGGCCCCAGGGAAGACCCAGGACACACTGGAGGGACTACAGTACTGTATGTCTCTCGGCTGGCCTGGGAATGCCTTGGAGTTCCCCCGGAGGAGCTGGAAGAAGTGGCTGGGGAGAGGGAGGTCTGGGCCTCCCTTCTGAAGCTGCTGCCCCCGTGACCCGACCCCGGATAGGCGGAAGAAAATGGATGGATGGATGGAATCTTTTCAGGACCCCACCTTGATGTTTCAGGACCCCACTTTGGGTCACGACCCCAACTATGGGAAACACTGAGATAGGGCACGGGTCCGGACAGAACCAACACTCGGTCTGGATTCGGACCTATGTCCGCCATTTGGTGATGCCTGTTCTACAGCTTCCTGTGTGGAACTGGAATGGTTATAAGACCCTTAGATGTTCAACTAAAGGCTGTTTTCTTGTTTTGCTATTTAATAGTAAGTACGTATTAGTAATAGGATACTAAAATACATAAAATTTTTCATCCACTGCCATGATTATGTAAGCAGTTTCTCATGATGTGACAAAACAAGTGTGTACCACCCATGGCAGGAGGCCTATAGAGAAAAATTGTATACAACTGCTTCTTGTTTGTGGTTGATTTCTTTGCTTACTAATGCTGAGCTGTCCTTCATCACCTTTCAATTTAAAGCTAAATGATGAGAGTATGTTGTAAGCAAACTGACTGCCTCCACTGATCGCTGCCAGCAGCTGCTGCTTTGTGTCCAGGAGCTGAGATTCTGCCAAAGGCAGCGATGCCCTTGGCACGTACCCACTGCTTTCATTATTTATCCCTACAACCTTCTTCTTCAAACTTTACAGCCTTTTTTTTGAAGTGCTGGATCCAAATGTTGTTTATAATCCAAAATCATCAAGCTTAAGCATGGTATAAAAAGGTACAGTTGAAAAAGAGTACAGTGAACCCTTAAGCCCTGCTGAGGACAGATCAGGACTGTAGTTAGTTCTATACCATCCTGTTCCAAAGTCATGCCTGTGGAATGTGAGCAGAATGTGGTTCTACGTGGGAGAAATGTTGAGACGTCCAGAAAGAAAAAAAAAAGATGTGGTTCTTGAAGGCAGACGTTACTGTAAAATTTCTGCTGGACCTTTTTTTCAAGTTCAGACCATCACACAGCACTAATTTAAGACCAGACTATGATGAAACTCTGACTCAAACACAGAACTGAATTACAACAGCCTGGATGTTCCATTTCCCTTCTGAGCTGGAATAAATTGGCTGTGTCCAAAACTACAGGCCGGGTCCTCCGGAGGACCC